GTGTGATATTAATGTCTTATTACAGGTGTGATATTAATGTCTTATTACAGGTGTTATAGTTATCTGTGCTGATACTCAACCAACACGTTATTTACTCAATATGTTTAAAACAGACAATGTAGCGAAACTACGCAAACAGGTTAAAACATTGATGGAACAACCGGAAGCTGATATCATTCTAGCTGAAGTACTGGATAATCATATATCAAGGCTATTGGTAAGTTGTTACAGCGCTGGATAATCAAAGGCTATTAGTATTAGTAAGTTATCACAAGTACTGGATAATCAAGGCTAGTGGGGTTTAAAGTTCTATATATCTGGGCTAATGAAGACGAGCGTGCAGCATGCACTGTAATATGACGGAAAATTTGGAAGGGCAGTGGCACTATGACCTACTCTAATATCGAATTCCAACTGTTTCAAGGGTTCTTTTACATGCACGCCAATGTGTACACGAGACCCCAACCGAACGACTTTACCATGTCCCTTGCCTGTTCCTCTGTTCTGCACCACTGACATGGGAGAACCAGACTGGAAAATCCTAATGAACTTTCTTGGCCAATGCAGGGATCGAACACAGGACCTACGGATTAGTGAGCCATCATCTTACAGATCTGGGAGCCGCGAGCCTGTAGTTATACAGACTTTACTCTAAATGAAAAACGAAATAACAATAAGGGAAGCAACCTCTAAAAAAAGGGGAATATTTCCAACACAAATTGGCAAACAGAAATCTTAATATCAGCACATTAAAGGAAAAACCTAAGATAACCATTTTCGTGAAATGTGGTAAAAATCAAAGTAAAATTAAATGACCTTATATAGGTTTGTTAATCATTACCTTATGTTTTGAATTTTTTTGCAGGATGATAACGTTATGCTTCGTTACGTCAACGATTCAACTAGAACTATTTACGCCTTTGAGATGGCAGCTCCTCCCAAACTACCAGAAACGGTTGTCATGGAAACAACCAATCCAACGAGCCAGAAAGATCAAATTACGACAGAGACAACTAACGAGAATCCGGGAGATATTTTTAGTCAAATGGGAACTTTTACAACAGGTTTGACTAGAAAGGATTCAACCAATAATATTCCAGATACAGAATCAGGCAAATTCAACTCATCCGAAATTGACAGCTCATTTAACAACCAATCAAATTTTATTTCTCTGTCCTCTGATGACCAATCAGCAAACTTTATTTCTAATACAGACACGCAAGGTAGGTACTGTTATCACTTCAAATTCGTAATGTCACTGGGGTTACCCAACCCTTGCTGCTTTTAAAACTAAAACTAAAGACATGTTTAAAAAGGCTTTTATCCATTGATGGTCCAGATTATCCAGATGTTTTATCCAGTGGTCGTTTTAATAGGTAGATTATCCAGAGCTGTTTTAATTACAGTAGAACTTGCTCGGGCGTGCACTCCTAATCAGCGAACACTTGCTTCAACGAGCGATTTTTAAGTAATTTAACCTCTACTACACACGCACCTGTTCAACGCGTGCAACAGGCATCACGATTAATTCCCCCTGTAAAAATTCTACTGTTTCAACAGTCACTCCTCTAAAAATTCAACAAAACATCTCCCATTCAACGGCCATTGTTGAATGATACCATGTAGTTAATTAACTGGACCCCCACTGATCAGGTAAAAAGAAATGTAAAAATAACAATCAACCCGGGATTATCTGTTTATTAATCTTTTGTTTTATTAAACGACTAACCTGATCATTGTTTTCACGCGGAACGACACATTATTTTATACTGATTAAATAAAATGAAAGTACCGAGTTTTGTCACGATCATCTAGTATCTCTTTTCCATTGGCGCCATTGCCACTTTATTGTTGAACAGACGTTTTAGCGCCCCCTATAATATTACATACAGAGTTAGACCTCCTGTAAATCGGTGATGAAATCAGCGATGGTTTTTTGTTCATGTGCTTTTTTGATAAAATAAAATTAATTCATCGGTTTTCTTCACAAAAATGGATAAATATTATCGAATGCATCACAATGGTAGACAGTAGTATCGAAGGTTGGCACAAAATGACAAGTTTACAGAAGTTATGTTCGAGATTTGAGTAAAGAATTTTCGTTCGGCACAAGATTCAGCGACGGTCAAATTTATCGATGCAAGTATTGATGTTCGCTCCCAATGCACCAAGCGTAATTAATTGATGTCAGCACAAAAAGCACCGAGATTTTATTATGTGGTCGCGTAATCGCTAAAATAGTTGGGGTGGGAAATTCTCAAATGCACGGCATTTTGAAACGCTTTTAGACGCTATGATTCAGTATGATGAAAGTAAAAGAAATATTGGGTTGTCAGAGATCCAGTATTACTAAACAAACATTTATACGCGACTACTTTGAATTCAAAACTAGTTAAAAAGTACATGTATTGTTATTGTTATACTACATGAATAAAAAAATATATGCAATCTATATCTTTATTTTTTGTGGTAGGGGTTGTGGCAATATTGGATACCTTTAGTCAAAGAGCACCTCCATTAAGCAAGCATTTTTAAATTTCCCTTGGGTGCTTGCTGAATACAAGTTCTACTGTACATGTAATGTTAACTGAATAATAAATTGTGTGATGCAAAGAACAGCAGAAGTTAAAGTCATTATCACATATTGAATTGTGTAGTCGGTGGGTGTGAGAGGGCACACTGTAGTAGATTGGGTATGCTGTAGTAGATTGGCAATTTAATATGATTAATTCAATACCGTCTCCTTTAGTTAAACACTAAGCAATAAGAAAACAGCAAATATAAGATTGAATCAATGTCCGTCTGGCTGTAGTTACATCTGTTTATCTGAATCAATGTCCGTCTGGCTGTAGTGTCAGTAAACATCAAGATATGATTTGCCATTTTTAAAATAAATAATAAAAATTTATTATAGGGACAGGAATGTGGGAATGGACACAATACGATGAACGAATTAATCCATTACCAGGTGCATCATGGGATAGTAATGTTTATGATAATCCTATTGGTCCTGCTCCGAGGTCAAGTCCTGTGAACTTTAACCCTAGTTGTATAGAGAACAGTACGGGTATGTGTGGTATAGCTGATCAGTGGAAGTCATGTGCTATATGTCTCGAAGAACTGGCAGATAGCGAACTATTGGTGCATACGTCATGTGGTGGAACTTTCTGTGATTCCTGTCTTGAGGTAAACTAAGGGCTGTATACACTTCATTAGTTTATGTCATACTTTATTGAAGTTATGAAAGTCGATGTCGTCTAAAAGAAAACATGGTTCAGTAAATCCGCTGACTTGCTAATGAGGTGGTCTTGGGTTTTGCGTCTGTTTGCCTTTGCACCAATGACATGGTGGAAAATCCTGAGGAAGCTTATCCGTGTCGCCAAGATAAAATGTGGTACTTCCCAGTTAGTGAGCCAAGGTTAGGTTGTTAATATGAAATGTGGGACGTCCCTGTTAATGAGCCTGCACCCTACTCACCGAGCCACAATGTACCAGCCGAGAAAGTTCATCAGGATTTTCCGGCATGGTTTCTCCTAGTCAGTGGTGCAGAACGTAGGGCCTGACAAGGACAGCTGTCTAGTCCTTCAGATGGGACGAAAAATCGAGGTCCTGTGTGCACGTTGGCATGTACGTGAAAGATCCCTTGGCAGTTGGAATTCGATATAAGAGTAGGCCATAGTGCCGCTGCCTGGCAAAATATCCCTCATATCACACTGTATGGCGTATGCCGTCTTAATTAGCCATGTATAGGAGCAGAACAGTAGGACGTTAAACCCCATTTTATTTCATTTTATTTGTATATTTATATTAAAATATATATATATCTCTTCTGATATTTCAGATGTCAATGAAACATAGTTCTGATAACGGCCATTGCTGTCCTGTAAGTTGATGATTTTATTTTTTCTTGAGTTATTATGGTCGTTTACGGGAATAGCACGAAATGTGTGGTGTCTACATGTACGGCATTACCACAGAATGAGGTCAATAAACCAGCGATGCTAGCTTTAGTTTTAAATAGCCTTTACCATTATGATTTTATACACATGCTGACAGGCTTAATTTTTAAAATATTGCCGTTATTATCGAAGGCTATATGTCATAGTGGTATGGAATTTTATTCTAAAACTATTTCAATTATGGTTGACGAATGAATAAAAACTTGTGCAAGTTACATGATAGACAAAAACTATAAATTGTTTTACCCAGAAATGTTGTGGTGCCATATCAGCTTATTTTGACTAAAGCATTTTTTGATCCTGGCAGTGGTAGAAAAATATTAATTTCGATTGACTGATGAATGTTTCGCTTTATCCATCGAATAAACGAAGACAGTAATTTATTCATAAATGTTACTGATGTGAACTTTAAGACAGTACGTGAATTTAATATGGAAAATTTTCCGAAAGGTGCACCTATTTGTCGTTATTTTTGTGGTAATCACATATGACATTCTCTATAACAAATTCCTAAGAATTATTTCTGTTGAGTTCTGGTTATATTAAAGGGAATAGAAGCTTTTAATTACCCTATTTCCCACCGAAACCTCATTTAACCCAATTCTGGCCGGTTGGTTTCAAAATGGAGTAAGAAACCCGATTAAAGATATTTTTATGATTGGTATTTTGTAGATCTGTCAATCTCCTGCCAGTAGAACAGATGATTTTATTCCGCTATCAAGTTCCATGGGTCATAAACCTGCTGCTAGGTGAGTTAATATTCATTGTTGTAGTGACAAGGAGTAGGGTTGCCTGTCCAACCTCGTGGGTTTTCTTTGGGTCCTCCAGTTTCCTCCCACTGTTAAAGACCCTTACGTGCAAGCGAATTATTGAAATAAAATTGAAACATGTTAGTCCCGAAATGACCTAGTTTGTGTCAAGTGGACGTTAAACTCCCCCTCTCTCTCTCTCTCCCTCTCTCTCTCTCCCCTCTCTCTCCCCCTCTCTCTCTCTCTCTCTCTCTCTCTCTCTCTCCCTCCCCCTCTCTCTCCTTTTGGTCATAAACCTGCTGCTAGGTGAGCAACAACAAATCTTTTAATCTATCTAATGAATAAATTTCCACTCTGAAGACGGGGGCCACAGTGGAAGAAGTGCTGACTCACCAACCTTGATGTCCCTGATTCGTGCAAGAGTGATTATTAGAATAAAATTGTACCATATGTTAGTCCCGAAATGGCCTGTGTCGAGTGGATGTTTAAACATACATTATGCAAGAGCTAAATCTGCCTATTGCAGGTCTTTCTTTAGGCCTGAAATGTTATCTAAATTATTTAGACATTAATTAACTTATCCAGACCGTCATCAACTCTCAATGTCATCGCTAGCCTGCGATATTTACTGGATTATGATCTGATTTGCTGCTCAACTTTTATTCATGATTAAATCATGAAATGGATAATCAAGACTATGTAATGATGATGGAGGCTAGGCCGAAAATTCAATTGCTAAATTCTCGGTTCAGAGTGGATGAATTTTACTGAAATTTTCAGCAAATTCTCTTAACATTATCTAGTTTTTAACTGTTATAGTGAAAACTGCCAACTCGTTATCTAATCTCCCATAACTTATCTTTAATTGTGTGTTTTTCTGTGATTGTAGGATATTGGCAATACCTGTTTGTCAACGATATATCAACGATGACAATAAACCTGTTCTATTTAACCATCCTAATATAGTATATCTACCTAGTCATGTGACAGGACAGACATTATATAGTACTATAAGTACAGTTATCCCCCCTGATACGGTGTATTCGGTTGTATTAACAGATGGACAGGGTAAACATTGTTCACGGTGTCAACATATGGATCATTGTACTGGATGTGTTATGAGTCGTGAAGGGGAGATCACTCTACAGCCTGGAGATCATCTTGCTGTTCAAGTAGAAGATGTAACTAGGGGGCAGATAACTCAAGCCGAATGTTTGGTTGATCATGTGACTATGAATGACCTTCGACCTGATGAACCTGTTACTATTTATGATTGTTTTACTGCCTTTACTCAATGGTAAGATAACAATATCCAGGGGTCTGGGCTGATGTCGTCAAGCTACGTTTTTTTTATATTTTAAACTAGAGGGAGCCGCTTTGGTTCAGTGAAGTAAGACACTGGCTCACCAACCAGCGGTTTCCTGGCCAGACAAGAACAGTATCTAGTTGTTCAGATAGGACAAAAATCTGAGGTCCTCTGTACACATTGGCGTGCATGTGAAAGAACCATTGCCTGTTGGAATTTGATATAAGAGTAAGCCGTAGTGCCACTGTCCTGGCAAAATTTCTCTGATAGTACACTGTATGGCGTTCTTCCTTCTTCATTAGCCTAGTCGGTGTGGTAGGATGTTAAACCCCATTTCACGTTCGTTTCCGGGGTGGTCGAGAAGTCAGTGAGTTGAAATCGCTACCAGAAAGGGTTCAATCCTAATGTTTAGCCGGCAAAGTTCCAATATGGTTCCCCTTGTCAGTGCAGCAGGACGGAGAGCATGTAAAAGAACCCTTGACATTTGCACTTCAGAATTAGAGTATACAGTAGCGTCACTGCCCTGGCCAAATTTCCCTCATAGCACACTACATGGTGTATCCCATCTGCATTAGTTTGGATCCCTGTGTCACCCAAGAAGTATTTCCCAAACTCGGCCAATAGACCCAATATGTCAGTAATTAAATTAGTCAATAGTTTGTCCTTTTTTAAAGAATTGTAATAATAATATCATTAATGTTTTCAGTGAAGTTTTGGACGAACAGAATCCGTGGTTTTGTCCACAATGTCGTAAAAATCAATGTGCCAATAAACGAATGACCGTCTGGCGATACCCTGATACATTGATTGTTCATTTAAAACGGTGAGTCTGATATTCAACGTTTTAACGCATTGAACCCTACAACCCTTAATGATACATTGATTGTTCATTTCAAACGGTGAGTCCAATATTCAACGTTTTAACTCATTGAACCCTTAATGATACAACAAACTATTCCTTAATATCCCTAAGCCAGTTAACTAGACAATAAATGCAGTGGGGCTAATTAAAGGATTATCTATTAATCCCTTATATCACAGAGAACACAGTAGAACTCAAAACCTATTATTCCGTACAAAAGCAGTTCATATATTCAAATTGGGATATAAAATAAGGCATTGCTAGTAACCTGGGTGCTAGACTGAGCAGTGTCAGTAGCTGGGGGTGCTAGACTGAGCAGTGTCAGTAGCTGGAGGTGCTAGACTGAGCAGTGTCAGTAGCTGGAGGTGCTAGACTGAGCAGTGCCAGTAGCTGGAGGTGCTAGACTGAGCAGTGTCAGTAGCTGGGGGTGCTAGACTGAGCAGTGTCAGTAGCTGGAGGTGCTAGACTGAGCAGTGTCAGTAGCTGGAGGTGCTAGACTGAGCAGTGTCAGTAGCTGGGGGTGCTAGACTGAGCAGTGTCAGTAGCTGGAGGTGCTAGACTGAGCAGTGTCAGTAGCTGGAGGTGCTAGACTGAGCAGTGTCAGTAGCTGGAGATGCTAGACTGAGCAGTGCCAGTAGCTGGAGGTGCTAGACTGAGCAGAGTTAACACAGAAAGTTTTAAAATTCATCTATAAATCATGCCTTTAATTTATCTTTCAGTTTTGTCTTTCATGAGTTTTCGAGTACGAAAATTGACAACCCTGTGATATTTCCCCAAAAAAACCTCCAATTAACGGACTTTCTCTCCGGGCCTAAAAACAACGACCTTCAATACGACCTCTACAGTATTGTTTGCCATTTTGGAGGTTTGTAATATATTCATTTCTTCCTGATCAACTAGATGATTTTCTATAGATCCCCGAATTCACGTGACCCATGAGTGAAAATTTTCTCTACAGAAAGTTGGACTCAGCACGGCGAATGTCGTGTTTAATCACGCAGTATGATAATCTTATAGATCGCCAAATTGATGATTTCCAAATTAAATCAACTTGTCCATAATATCATGTATCGGACGTTAAAAATCTGTAAACGACATGATTGCCATTAATTGATCAATATAATACCCTCTCGCCGATCAGTGTCGACCCATACCCTCTTGACAATCAGTGTTGACCGATACTGTCTCATCAATTAGTGTCAACCGATACCCTCTCGACCATCAGTGTCAACAGATACCCTCTCGTCAATCAGTGTCAACAGATACCCTCTCGTCAAACAGTGTCAACCGATACCCTCTCATCAATCAGTGTCAACCTACACTGTTGTATGTATAACCTGATTAAAACTTTACGAGCAAATTTTTGAGATTTCTTGTCCAATTTCATGTCTAAATATATTGCTAGTAAGTGTTGCTATTACAGGGTCTAATTCTGGTCATTATACATCGTATTAATGATGTTTTATATTACAGGGTCTAATTCTGGTCACTATACATCATATTAATGATGTTTTATATTACAGGGTCTAATTCTGGTCACTATACATCGTATTAATGATGTTTTATATTTCAGGGTCTAATTCTGGTCATTATACATCGTATTAATGATGTTTTATATTACAGGGTCTAATTCTGGTCACTATACATCGTATTAATGATGTTTTATATTACAGGGTCTAATTCTGGTCACTATACATCGTATACACGACACCCTATTAATGGTGAGTGGTTTTATTATAACGATGAAACTGTGACACAATCTGTACCTAAAGATGAGGAATACAGCAGCGGCTACGTTTTATTCTATCAAAAACTTGGTGAGTTGTAATTCATCGTATATAGACTTAGGCTTAGATGTAAGATTAAGATCATAAGCTCTGTCATTGAGTCAAGTGGCAAGGGTTTGATCCCTAGCTAAAATTTGACAATTAGTAGGATCATTGGTACAAACATGCAAGGTTTTCACCAGTTTCCTCTCCCAGATAAAGACCCCTTTGAGTAAGCATATGTTAGTCCCAAAATGGCTCAGGTATTGTTGAGTCAGGGGCCATGGTAGTTGATTATCCAGGACACTGATCTTTCAGCTAGAATGTCACTGGTTCGATTCCAGACCTGGACCCAGAACAACGGTTGTGAGTGGACAAGGCTGAATCAGAAACTGTGTCAATGAGAAAATAAAACGAGGTCCACCCTTGTGCATATTACTGTGCATGTAAAAGAGCCCATTATATATGAAAAATTAAAAAAAAGGCTGAAGCACCACTGCCCAGACAAAATTCTCCAACATTAAAATAAAAAAACTACCATTTTATTGCCTCTAAATGATCAAGGTATATTTAAACCCCTGACAGTTTGTAAATCTGATCAAGAATAGACAGAAATGGTGCTGCCTTGTCAATATTCACCAAGAGGGTTTGGGTCTGTGGGCACTTTAGATCATAAGGTTGCATGTTTTTGATTCCCGGCTTTTGTACGTGACATGGATTAGGGTCGCTAGTCAAAACTTATGTGTTTTCTCCATGTCAAAGAGAAAACCCTAGGCCTAATCAAATTATTGAAGTGGAATTGAAACATGTTAGTCCCGAAATGACCTCATTTGTGTCATGTGAACAATTCCCCCTCTCTCCATTAAGCCAAGGGATATTTTATAATTTATTTATTTTATTTCAGGATCGAATGTTAGGATTACACCTGGAGTAAAATATTCAAACTGTGATAATCTACTACCCTCTGTCTGTTGTATAGACGACGATACACAACACGATATAGATCCTACACAATTAGACTTTTACTCTTAATTTATATCTCTAGACACAGCACACAGATCACTCAACTATATATATAACAAACAGATCAACACACACACAGGTCAACACACACAGACCAACACACACGGGTCAACACACATACAGGTCAACACACACACAGGTCAACACACACAGATCACTCAACTCAACACAAACAGATCAACACAGAGAGATAAATTTAAAGAGAAATGAAATGAAATGGTGTTTAACATTCTACTTTCCTGCATCAATCAGGTTGATGGGCATATACACTGCTGTTCACTTCATAATTTTAGTGTATTTTTTTCATGAAGTTGATTTTAAGGAAACAAGGTTTAGAACTTAGCCTAACATAAGCCTCTTAAGTTAAACATACATTATGCTAGAGGTAAACCTACCTATTGCAGGTCTTTCTTTAGGCCTGAAATGTTAACTAAATTAGACATTAATTAACATGACAAGACCATAATCATCTCTTGATGTCATCGTTAGCTTCCGATATTTAGTGGATTTGAATCCGTTTTTTGATGGATGACGAAACGTTAAAATGGACAATCAAGTTTATTATCGTACCAACATTAGTAATGACGATCAAAGCTTGCCTAAAATTGAATTCGTATTATCATGGTTTAGAGTTAAGCAATTTGACTGAAATTTTCAGAAAGTTGCTAATATAGCAAGAACTGTCATCTCTTTATCTAATCTAACCCGATGTCTGTTTAGCTGTTTAGTCCAGTCTGCAGTTATATCAACTGTTTATTATCAAATTAACATTTTAATTGTACATAATTCTCTTCTGATTTAATTTATTAGAAATTATTCAAATTAACATTTTGTTTAGTTTTTTTAGGCCAAGGAAATAATTCCCCTGATTATAATTACTTGGCTTCCAAAATAGTAATCTTAATAGCTGAGTCAAGTTCCGAAAAATAATGCGATTTGGAGTGTTGAATAACGAAATATTGACGTTGGAATTTGTCAGCTGAAAACCATGTTAAGACCGATTTTGCTGTTATTATTAGGTTTTGTTGTAATGTTAATAATGTTGAAATGATTGATCGATTCTAACTTGTCGAAACAAGCTAACACTACCTGTAATGTTGATATGTCTATCTGTCTACCTGTACAGGTGTTCTATCTGTCTACCTATACAGGTATGTCTATCTGTCTACCTGTAGAGGTGTGTTTATTAAGATGTAGTTTGTGTGTTTGTTAATGATTGACTCGTGTTTTAATTCGACTGTAACAAGAATTTATAGTGATGTGAATATTCTAACTTTTACTACTCTTCTCTTCTTGGTTTGTATCAGTGACATCTCACCCTCGTCTTGGTTGTATGTGTTTTCCGCTTCATCTTGGCTTGTATGAAAGTGCCGACCCCTCCCATGTGGGCTTGTATGAGTGCCCAAACGCTCATTTTGGCTTGTATAAGACCCCCACCCCCACCTTCATCTTGGCTTGTATGAATGTCTACCCCACCCCCTCTCCGCCACTTGTATGAGTTTGTATGATATTGTAGCTATATCACTACGTGTTTTTGTTGTAAAACCCTCAGTTTTTCAGATAAATATGTGATAAAATTGTGTAAATATAAAAATATCAAATCATTTGATGTAAGAAGAGAAAACAAAATATATTGTACGAGAAATAAAAAATGTGTAAAAAACAACTTTATTTTTTTTATATCAACAGTGGGGTAGAAATTAGTATTGTCCTGACAGTAGGGGTTCTAACCATGGTGTTTTGTATCACAACCAGACAGGTGAGGTTCTAACCATGATATTTTAAAGTATCTAAGTCGCTAACTCAATATCATCCAAAGTCTCACACATTGATACACGAATTATTTGTCAGTTCAAATCAACATTGATGTTGTGATCTTACTGGAAAAAGGTAGGCTTCTGATATCCAATATTTAAGATAAAATAAACATTTTACTATTGGTACACGAATCGTGTATCATAGCGCGTTTCAGCGTCATTTGTAACAAGTGACCAGAAAGAACGAGGCCAGACATATTCCACAACTCTTGTCAAACGGTGACGCCATAACTTATCTGGAGAGCATGCGCAATAGACTGGAATAATCAGACGCTACAAATTTCCATTCGGTTGAGACTCATACCGTATTTCGCTGGACATAATTGATTTGAAATTAGTCAAAACGGAAACAACTGAATGTAAATCAGTTTAAATTATTATATGTGTTGCGACCCATTTGGGTTTCAAGGTCCCAAACATTAGTGATTTACCTCCTTCAACTCCCTTACTGTAAAATGGTGGTTAAATCTGGTGATGCTGAACTTAACAAAAAAAAAATGCATAATAATACCAAGGTTGTGGACACTCTAGATGTCATAACTTTTATCCGATTTTGATGAAACTTACAAGGTACATGTATGTTCATTACCGAAAGATCTTGGTTCCTTTCGATATTGGCGCATAGGACCATCACTACCTGGATTATAGCCTCTGATTGTACGAACAATCACGTTTTTAGCTTGTGCAGGTTACAATGTTTATCTGATTTAAAAGGCATTCAGATATATCGCCGTTATACCATAATTATGGTTGAATTCACATTTCCTGAAAATGAGACCGAACTGACGGACAACATGGTCGCTTCCCTAATTACAGGTAATACCAGGTTAGATCTACTATCCTGACAATGATCCAAAAACCGGAAGTAGTCAAAAAAAATATCCGATATTTTTAAAAAAAAGAACGTAAAAAGTAAAAAAAATGGTGATCTTGCGAAAAAAGTGATTACTACGCCAGATTTCACCGAATCAAAATAACTAATAGGCAATCTTATGACATCCAAATGGTACAAATTCGCTGGTTAGGCAATATATTATGGGACACTGAAAATCCAGTATTTTCCTTTTTGGAGCCTATTCAGATGCTTTTATCTCGAAAATTACTCTTATTTCATTTCGGTTACTTAGAGTCCTAACGGTGGTCTAGGGTGTGAATCCAAATTTAAAAGCCTTGATATAGTATAAATGGTCCAAAAATGGCCCCAATCTTATATTACTGAAAAAGTTCTATTTGCTAAATATCGTTAAATATCTGATAATGTTCTTCTAATTTCTTTTCTTTTAAAAATTGTTCAACATTTTAAACTGCTCGATGGATGTTTCTCAAACTTCTGGTACAGGAAGTTAAGTTCCCATACCACTTGTTAAATCTATCCCAACAATGATCTGTAAACCGGAAGTAGTCGAAAAAATATCCAATATTTTGAGAAAAAAAAAACAGTAAAAAATTGGTAGCTCGATGAATGGGCTATTGTATGACACTCTTTCTGTCTGATTCCTGAAAGCCGGTTCAGTGCTGCTTGCAGGTCTAGTTATTATTTTTTCCCCGGGAGCCTATTTCTCAGTGCCTGTAACAGATACTGATCTGGAACCTAATTTTAATACGCCCACATTTTTATGTGGACATATATTGTCGTCGCCCCTGTCCGTCCGTCCGTCTGTCCACAATTGTTTGTGAACACTATACAGGTCACAATTTTTATCCGATTTCAATGAAACTTGAAATATAGGTTTATCACCCCAACATCTCAGTTCCTTTCGATATTGGCATGTATCGGACTGTAACTTCATTGTTTATGGCCCTTGGTTGTACGAAAAATCACGTTTTTAACTTGTGAACACTATAGAGGTCACAATTTTTATCCGATTTGGTTTAAACTTGAAATGTATGTTTATAACCCAAAGATCTCGGTTCCTTTCGATATTCGCACATATCTGACTGTAACTTCCTGAATTATGGCCCCTGATTGTTCGAAAAATCACGTTTTTTGCTTGTGGACCCTATAGAGATCATAATTTTGATCTGATTTTTAAAAAAACGTTTGATTTTATCACCGTTACACCCTAAGGACGACGTAGTTCAAATTTCGTGAAAATCTGCCCAAAACTGACAGACAAATGGCCGTCCCTCGTTCTCAAATAGTGTAACCAGCGGCTGCCAGCCAGGATACGCCCACATTTTCGAGAGATGGATAGAGAACAAGCTAAAAAGAAAGTGATGTTTCCTACAATCAAGGGTCATAATTCAGGAAATTACAATTCGATATGCGCAAATATATACAGGAACCGAGATCTTTGTGTTATAAACTTACATTTCAAGTTTCAACAAAATCGGATTAAATTTGTGACCTCTATAGGGTCCACAGCCTTGATATGCCACATTTTTACGCTATTTAACAACGAAGGGCGGCCATTTTGTCTGTCAGTTTTGGGCCGATTTTCACGAAATTCGAACTCAGCCATCCTTAGGGTGTAACGGTGATATAATAATACGTTTTTTTAAAATCAGATCAAAATTATGATCTCTATAGGGTCCACAAGCAAAAAACGTGATTTTTCGAACAATCAGGGGTCATAATTCAGGAAGTTACGGTCCGATATGCGCGAATATCGAAAGGAACCGAGATCTTTGGGTTATAAACTTACATTTCAAGTTTCAACAAAATCGGTTAAAAATTGTGACCTCTATAGGGTCCACAAGCTAAAAACGTGATTTTTCGTACAATCAGGGGCCATAATTCAGGAAGTTACGGTCCGATATGCGCAAATATCGAAAGGAACTGAGAACTTTGGGTTATAAACTTACATGTCAAGTTTCAACAAAATCGGATAAAAATTCGTACAATCAGGGGCCATAATTCAGGAAGTTACGGTCCAATATGCGCGATTATCGAAAGGAACTGTCTCGAAATATTCAACTGCTATCGTTCCGGAAAAGACTCACGGTTTCCGGTAATGTCATTGGAATGAAAATAGGGAAATAATTGACAAAACAAGGGCCGGTTTCTGATTTTTTGGCACCGTACCAATTTCGACCACTTCCGGTCTCCACAGAAGTTTCAAAAGTAGTCCATCAAGTAACCACCACATGGTTTCCAATTAGACCAGCGGCTGCCAGGCAGGATACGCCCACATTTTGCAAGAGATGGATAGAGAACAAGCTAAAAACAAACAGGATTTTTTGTACAATCAGGGGTAATAATCCAGAAAGTTATGGTCTGAAATGCGCAAATGTCAAAAGGGACTGAGATCTTTGGAATATAAAGATATGATTCAAGTTTCATCAGAATCGGATAAAAATTGTGACCTCTAGAGGGTCGACAACTTTTACACAATTTGCGTACAAAGAGCGGCCATTTTGTTGGCAGTTTCATTTCGATTTTCAAGAAATTCGAATTCAACCTTCATTCTGGTGGAATGGTGAAATATTTAAACGGTTTTTAAAATCGGAAAAAAAATTGTGACCTCTAGAGAATCCGCAAGCTAAAAATGCCATTTTTCGAACAAGCAGGGCCCATAATCCTGGAAGTTAAGTTCGGGTATCCGCGATTATCAAAAGGATCCATAATCTTAGTGTGTAATGGTGATATATTCACACATTTTTTTTAAATCAGATAAAAATTGTGACCTCTACAAAAACGCGATTTTTTTTTGATTTTTTTTTTTATAAGCAATATTTTTATTCAGATTTCTATCTGAATAGGGATTGGGGAACAGGCATAGCCTATATTAAACCCTTCTCCCTGTCAGATATAGATACATGTATTTACATAAAGAAACATACAATGTACAAGTGCAGTTATTTTACAGTGAGTGTGTTATAGTTGTCTCTGGAATGGATTTACAGTTATGTAATAGGCAAATAATGTACAAGTGAAAATATATTTACAATGAATGGTTATAATTGTCCCTCGAATCGTCTGGTGATTTCAAAAAACGAGTGAACAGTTTTAAAAATAATGAATGAGTTTTCTATGCTGTCAATTCCATACAATAGGGTTGTAGTATTTCGGTGAATAGTAGGTAAATTATTTATTGTATTATTTCGGGCATCTGAATATAAGGAGCAATTCAATAAAAAATGTTCAGTGTCTTCAAATTGATGACAACATCTGCAGGATGGGTTATCAGAAATATGGCGTAAAAATTTATGTCCGTTTAGATTGCTGCAAGAGAGACGCAGTTTAGAATGTATGATTTGGTTTACACGGGTTCCAAAAGAGAATGTTTTAGGTGGTATCAGATCTTGAGCCATGAGTTTCGAATTGAAAATATTTAGAGATGTTGAATTTTTTGTCTCCGAACTTAATTTGTTCCATTCTCTTATTGACGATGGTATGAAGGAATTATAGAAGATATTTGTTTTGCATTTATATTCAGGTAGGCTTGTTTTTCGGAGATTATAGTGTGCGCTTTTTGTCAAGATTAAATCATGGAGATAAGATGGAGAAAGGCCGTTTATAATTTTATAAATGAATTTGAGTTTATGTCTTCTGCGTCTCTCTTTTAGCGTAATAAAACCGGTTTCTTTATATAACAGTCTATGGCTGGTACCCTTTACAGCACCACATATGGACCTAAGTGCATCCAGTTGTAGGTGCTCTAATTTGTTAGCTAGTTGGTCTGTGCAGTTGTCCCAGATGACGTCGCAATAATCAAAATGGGGTAAGATAAAAGAGGTATAGATAGTTTGTAACGATTTCCGGTTAAGTCTGTATTTAAGGGATCTTAAACAATTGACAGATTTGCTGGTTTTTTCTATAACGTCATTAATGTGTCGGTTCCATTTACAATTTTGTTGAAATGTCAAGCCTAAATGTTTATGATGGGGGACTTCCTTGATGGGAACA